AAACATTTTCATATTTGTAATTGAAATTAGATTATCAAAAATGACAATCCACACTAAAGAGTCCAAAACGATCAGAACACTTTCACATTTATAATTGAAATTAAAGGATTCAAAACGATCTAAAAATTCTCACATTTGTAATACATGCTAAGAAATCCAAAACAATTAGAATATTCTCACATTTGTATAGGAGTTGTCAAAATCTAAGTTAAAGAATCAAAACAGTTAGAGGTTTCCCTCCTTTGTCATCAAAGTTAAAGATCCAAAACAATTATATATTCCCACATTTGTAATCCAAACTAAAGGATCCAAAATGATCAAAACATTCCCAATATAAAAGCCATCAAAATTGAAGTTAAAAAGGATCCAAAACGGTCCATACTTCCTCACATTTGTAATCAAATTTAAAGGATTCAAAATGATCCAAAAATTCTCATACTTGTGATCCAAGATCCAAAACAATCAAAGCATTTCCACATTTGTATACAGCATTTCATATCCAAGATAAAGAGTCTAAAATGGTCAGACTATTCCCGCATGTATAATCGAATTTAAAGGATCCAAATGGTCCAAATATTCTCACATTTGTAATCCAAACCAAAGGATCCAAAACAATAAGAACATCCCTAATATAAGAAGCATCAAAACCTTTGTTAATGGATTCAAAGCGATCAAAACATTCTCACATTTATAATCAAATTTAGAGGATTCAAAACGGTCCAAAAAATTCCAAATTTATGACCCATGTCAATGGATCCAAACTAATCAAGGCATTCCCAAATTTGTATACACATTTATATCCAAGATAAAAGGTCCAAAACGGTTAAAATATTTTCACATTTATAATCAAATTTAAAATATCCAAAACAATCCAAATACTCCCATATTTGTAATCCAAGCCAAAGGATCCAAAACAATCAAAACATTCCCAATATAAGAGCTCTCAAAATCTTTGTTAATGGATCCAAAATGGTCAATATATTCTCACATTTATAATCGAATTTAAAGGATCCAAAAGGGTCCGAATATTTCCAAATTTGTGATCCAAGTTAATGGATTCAAAACGATCGATCAAAACATTCCCATATTGTATGCAACATTTCATATTCCAAATAAAAGGTCCAAAATGATCAAAATATTCTCACTTTTGTAATCGCATTTAAAGGATCCAAAACGATCCAACCCACATTAGAGGTCCAAGTTAAGGGATCCAAAACAATCAAAACATTCTCACTCATACCGAGGCTACAAGCAATAAATGATCCACATTTAAATTCTAAACTAAATTATCCAAAATGGTCAATTTTTCACATTTGTATAGCTCAAATTTTTCAACATTTGCAAACCAATTTCAAGGATCTAAAAGAATTACAATTTTCCAACACTTGTATATGTCACAATTTCTCAACATTAATATTTCAAGTAAAGGATCCAAAATGGTCAAAACATATTCATATTTGTAATCAAAATTAAAGGATCAAAAACAATAATCCACACTAAAGAGTCAAAAACCATCAAAACATTCCCACATTGTAATCAAAATTAAAGGATTTAAAACAGTCCAAAAATTTTTACATTTGTAATCCATGCTAAAAAATCCAAAACAATTAGAGCTTTCCCACATTTGTATAGGAACTATCAAAATCTAAGTCAAAGAATCAATATGGTTAGAGTTTTCCCCCATTTGTAATCGAAGTTAAAAGATTCAAAACAGTTACACATTCCCACATTTGAAATTCAAGCCAAAGGATGTGAAACGATAAGAACATTCCCCATATATAAGAGCAATCAAAATCGAAGTTAAAAGGATCCAAACTAATCCGAACTTCCTCACATTTGTAATTGAATTTAAAAGATTCAAAACGGTCCAAAAATTCCCAAATTTGTGATCCAAGTTAAAGGATCCACAACAATCAGAGCATTCCCACATTGGTATACAACATTTCATATCCAAGATAAAAGGTCCAAAACTGTCAAAATATTCCCACATCTATATTCGAATTTAAAGGATCCAACACGATCTAAATATTCCCACATTTGTAATCCAAGCCAAATGATCCAAAACGATCAAACATTCCTAATATAAGAGCCATCGAAGTCAAAGTTAAAAGAATCCAAAACGATCCATACTTCCTCACATTTGTAATCAAATTTAAAGGATTCAAAACGGTCTAAAAACTTCCAAATTTGTGACCCATGTTAATGGATCCAAACCAATCAGGGCATTCCCACAATTGTATACCACATTTCATATCCAAGATAAAGAGTCCAAAACGGTCAGAATATTCCCACATTTATAATCGAATTTAAAGGATCCAAAACAGTTCAAATATTCCCACACTTGTAATCCAAGCCAAAGGATCCAAAACAATTAGAACATTCCCAATATAAGAACCATCAAAATCTTTTTTAATGGATCCAAAACGGTCAAAACATTTTCACATTTGCAATCAAAATTTAAAGGGTCCAAAAGGGTCGAATATTTCCAAATTTGTGATCCAAGTTAATGGCTCCAAAATGGTCATAACATTCCCACGTTTGTATACAGCATTTCATATCCAAGATAAAGGGTCCAAAATGGTCAAAATATTCCCACATTTGTAATCGAATTTAAAGGATCCAAAACCATCCAAATATTCCCATATTTGAGGACCAAGTTAAAGATCGAAAACAATTGTAACATTCCCACACTTGTATAGGGGCTACAAGCAGCAAAGACACCAAAAGTCTAAGCTGAAGAGCAAAAGTAGACCCCTATAATTGTATTTATGCATTCAACTTTAGGCATCAAATGATACAAACATCAATGAGCCTAGTAAGAGTGCATTGAAAATGCAAGTTCAAATAAAATAAGGACACCACATATGCTACTTCAAAAAATCTCAAGACATGAAGATAAGGCAGCTCACCTGGTCGAGTTCAAGACCATTAATCAATCTCACTTTTTCCACAAGGACATTTGAAACAAGTTCAAACATGGCAAGAGCCATTTAGAAAGCCAATATACTTGTTAAATCATCCCAAGGAAGCTCTCTATTCCAAGTACAAGAATCCAAAAAGGCCACAATTTTCCCACATTTACATTCCAAATTAAATGATCCAAAATGATCAATTTTCCCACATTTGCATAACTCAAAATTTTTCAACATTTGCAAACCAATTTCAAGGATCCAAAACAATTACAATTTTCCAACATTTGCATAAGTTACAATTTCTCAACAACAACATTTCAAGTAAAGGATGCAAAATGATCAAAACATTCTCACTTTTGTAACCAAAATTACAGAATCAAAAAGGGTCCAAAAATTCGCATATTTGTAATCCACATTAAAGAATCCAAAACGATCGAAGCATTCTCACATTTGCAATTGAAATTAAAGGATTCAAAACGGTTCAAAAATTCCCACATTTGTAATCCATACTAAAAAATCCAAAACATTCAGAACATTCCCACATTTGTATAAGAGTAGTCAAAATCTAAGTTAAGAAATCAAAACAGTTAGAGCGTTCCTGCATTTGTAATCTAAGTTAAGGGATCCAAAACAATCACACATTCCTACATTTGTAATTCAAGCCAAAGGATCCAAAATAATAAGAAACATTCCTAATATAAGAGCCGTCAAAATTGAAGTTAAAAGGATCTGAAACGGTTCGACCATTCTCACATTTGTAATCAAATTTAAAGGAACGATTCGAACATTCCCAAATTTGTAATCCAAGTTAATGGATCCAAAACAATCAAAACATCCCCACATTTGTATACAACATTTCATTTTCAATATAAAGGGTCTAAAAAAGTCAGAATATTCCCACATTAGTAATTGAATTTAAAGGATCCAAAACGGTCCAAATACTCCCACATTTGTAATCCAAAGCCAAAAGATCCAAAAACAGTCAAAACATTGCCAATATAAGAGCTACCAAAATCTAAGTTAAAAAATCCAAATCGATCAGAACATTCTTACATTTGTAATCGAATTGAAAGGATCCAAAACAGTCCGAATATTCCCAAATTTATGATCCAAGTTAATAGATTCAAAACGGTCAAAATATTTCCACATTTGTAATCGAAGTTAAATGATCCAAGACGGTCCAAATATTCCCACATTTGAGATATAAATTAAAAGATCCAAAATAATCAGAACATTCCCACACTTGTACAGGGGCTACAAGCAGCAAAGACACCAAAAGTCTAAGCTGAAGAGCAAAAGTAGATCCCTATAGTTATATATGCATTCAGCTTTAGGCATCAAATGATACAAGCATCAGTGAGCCTAGTAGGAGTGCATTGAAGATGCAGGTTCAAATAAAATAGCAAGGACATATGTTTTAAAAAAAGAAGTCATTTCTTATACATATGCTGCTTCAAAAAATCTCAAGACATGAATGCAAGGAAAATAAGCCAGCTCAGCAAGTCAAGTTCAAGACAATTAATCAATCATATTTTTCCCACAAGGACATGAAGGGTCATAAATGGAATCTAATCAATCAAGCATTGTGAAGTATTAATAAACTAGTCCTAGGTTCTCCTCTGTTTCGTAGAGAGGAGAGCAAAAAACACAATGCAGTGGAACAATCAAATCATCTTTGGACTACCAAAATTATATAGACCGACAGAAGTAACAAGGACGAATAGCATACCAGGATTTGTGGAGTCCTTGAAAATGGACCCATCTTTGCCGTCTCTAGACTACCAAAATGTTCTGAATATCTCATGATGGTTCTATTCCTTATGAAAGCACAAGAGATAATAAAATCAAAAGATCAAAAGAGAAGCGAATGCCAATGAATACTTGTGGTTCAGGGGAGGTTCCTTCTCTCAATTTGGTGGGGGGAGAGACCACTATAATTGTGAACCATTGGATTAAATTTGATGATATAGATTTGATAGTTTTTAAAACTACAATTAAAAACAATTTAAATGTTAGTCAAAAACACCAACTGTAGCAACATCAAAGGAAGCAAAAGCACCATGGTACACCAAAAAGAAAATTCTCTACAAGTGGCAGAAAGGATAACTTTATTTGCCAATCGATTTAAATTGAACATAAATAGCAAAGCCTCCATTCTTCCTTTCTACCCATTTCTATTTCGCTTGCTGGAGTGTACACTCCTTCCCACTTTCAGGACGACAGATACAGATGAAGTAACTTAGAAAAATCAAATTGTACATTAACCCAGGGGGGGGGAATCTAAAGTTCGTCTGTAAGAGTCAAAGAAAATTTTTACAGCCCACAAGGACAGCCAACTTATTGAGAAATGAGGCACAATATTGTTGAGCTTCAACCCAGTCATCTCCCTGTCAAACAAGGAAAACACATAACATCAACAGCCAACAAGATAGAGCAACCTCACCAGTCTACAACAGTACCTCTTCTCTCAAACCATGCATTCGCTCTTTTCCACCATCCCCACAAACCAATCGGCCATGTCACAAGCAGTGAAACTACGTCAATTAAGCCACATGCTTAAAGGTGGAAAATGGATAAACTTGCCTTTTACAGTAATTACAAGCTAACTCATATTTTTCACCTTTTATTAACAGAAGTGAAAAAAAGGTCCCTGGCCCTTATTTTTCTCTCTGCAATATCAGAAGAGGGGAAAGTTAAAATAAAAAAGAGGGAAAATGAACATACCCAGAACTTACCCAAATCTTCTCCCATTTTTTAAAATGTTTTGCCATATGCTAAAATTCACAACAGCTTCGTTTCTGCAGAGAGCACCCAGTGCTCATCACAGCCACTAATTATGGAATTTGAATGCCTAACATCAGATGTTTTACACTAATATATTATCAATGTACATTTTGATTAGGAATAAGTATAAGACCAATACTACCTCACATAGTAGTTATTTAAAATGAGATAGTGAATTAGTATTTCACACAAGTTCCATGAAACATCTGATGACTAAAAAAGTGAAAAAAACACCCTGGGAAGTCAGAAGTTTCATGAAACGTTAACAATACCACAAGTACTGTCAGCACGTACCAGTTCCTCATCACTATCTTCCCCAATTGGTTGCTGAAATAAAGATGCTTTTGCGTATGAAGGAACAAAATCCAGCCCAATTACAACCTGGAAGTATAAAATTCTTGAAACCATCAACAGTTGCATAATAGATTTGATAAAAGATCGATCCTCTATAATTCCATATAGTAATTACAAGATAAAGTAATTAATAAATAGGAAACTGAATTTTAAAATTCTTTAACAAATTAACAGGCACGGAAAATGCAATTATCACTGAATCTTAATACGTTCAATGTATATCAAGTATAAAATAAAGCACATAATCATACAACAAAATTAAGGACTTCGGTTATACACTTACACTCAGGTAAATGCCACCATCAAATCACCCCCGCCCCCCAGAAGATTCTGATTCCGAGTAAGGTATAGGTAGTACCAACGGTCACCATCCCCAAAACCGTATTTAACTTGTAAGAAATTCCCCAGACCATACTTATTGTTATTACTACTAGTACTTCTAAACAATGGTGTGTGTGTAAAATCTAACCATAAAGAAATAAAAAATTTGATATTACATTTTCTCCCCTAAATATGACATTTTCTCTGTGAATCGTGTATAATGCAAGAGATAAGCTCTGCAAATCATAACCTGCAAGCAACTTAATAGAGATACTATTATATATATTGATACTGATGTCCATTTTATGCCCGTGATCTGGTTAGTAAAAAGTCCATAAACCCATTATCATAACAAATTTATGAATCATTATAAATGTAGATGAAGGGTCATAATTGGAATTTAATCAATCAACCAAGCATTGTGAAGTGTTAGTAAACTACCAAAGCTATATTATATTTCAACAATAGTACGCGGCGCTTCACTGAAACTAGGAATCTTTCAATGGCTGTTAAGAAAGCTAGAAGCACAGCAGGATTCACAACGTTCGAATAAGCTACTCGACCGAATAAAGCTAAAAGGAGAAAGAGAGATTACTCTAGTTGTTGAGTACCAGGAGGAAGCTACCAGATCGACTTTCGTAGCGGATCATAATGCATCGATTCTAGTGATTTCACTTGAAGACGGAGTCAACCATGGCGGTGACCTCGTCCTCTCGAATGGGTCTCAAGGCTTCAAGGCGCTTAGGAGAAAAAAGATCGAGCGTGAAGACCTTCCTCACCTTCACGTAGTGACGCCCATAATCGCCGATATTTGCTGTCTCTGCTAAACTTGGCGGATCGGCTACTGTGCCGGTCGGCCAATTGCTCGCCGTGCTCCTTCAGCACCTCTGGCCAGCTCCGAGCAGAAGAAGATGACGTTCAGAGTATAGCGAACCAGACCGATATGATGGGACCACAGGACTAAACCCACTCAACGAAGCAGCATAAACCGCACCGCGAAGGTCGGCGCTTTGATATAACCGTTGGATTAGGGTTTGCTACTTTGCTTAAAATTGGCGCAACTGCGAGCTGCGCCTATTTTTATGAGCGTAATTAATTAAAAATACTTTTATATTAATTAATGATATGATAGTTGAATCAGGTTTCGCTACTTCGCTTAAGATTGGCGCAACCGCGCGCCGTGCTTATTTTTATGGCATAATTAATTAATAATATTTTTATAATAACTAAGAATTTTATATTGGTTCAGCTTTGAAATAAGTGAAATGACGGCATGGGCTTTTTGCGTGGTGTAATTGAAAAACTATCTCATAATTAAAAGAGAGAGGAGAAGAAGAAAAACTGTATTTTATAATATGTAATATTCTTATCTTTTAATAAAATTATCATAATTATTTTTTATTTAAAAAATTTATAAAGCCAATAAAATCTCACATAAGTTATTAGGAATTTTTTTTAATATGATATGACAACTTTTATTAATAAGATAACTAATAAATAACAGTAAGTTATAGGAGAGTTTGTATTAAAAAATTAAAAAATTATGAAAAATTAATTTTAAAATTTTAAAAATAAAAAGTTTTATGTTTGTAACTGTTTCAAAGTGTAGAGGAATTTTGTATATTTTACTTAAATGTACATCACCTTGTTGTTAGGATTAATTTTTTAGTAAGATTATCTTTTTCTGGTGAATTGGAATGAGATTAATTGTCTCCAAATAAAAATTATTGATTTAATGACCGCTTATATGTTGGTACAAAAAAAAAATGACCGCCTGCAAAAAATTTTTTGAAAAAAATAACCATCCTGCTTAACATAAATCATGTTTTAACATATTAGATATTTTGGCTAAAAAATACAGATATTATTACTGAAAAACTCAAAAGTTAACATTAAATATTAAATAAATACAACATCAAGAATACATTGAAATTTAAAATTTAAAGCATTAATTTTGCAGGGGAACCATTTTCCTTGGACAACAATTAAAGGCGAATAATTTTAAAATAAACCACCTACATGCAGAAAAGCGTAGCAAAGAAGACATTTCTATTTAAAAAACAACGCAGCGTAGAAGATATCAAATGCAAAGAATATAGATCTTTTGGTTTTTAAAATTAGAAAAGCAATCATTAACGGCTTAAGATTATGAACAAGATCAAACCCACAATTTTCTATTCACAAAGAAGCTTATATGCTACTAAGCTACAAAGCCATTTAGATCTTTTCTATTTTACCTTTGAGGTGATTTTTATAATTTTAAAAAGAGTTGAATACCATCCCCCCTCCCTCCAAAACCTTTTTAGGAGCGCTTGGGCATCAACTTGACATCACTGAACCTGTCACACATTAAAAAACCACCTCAACATGTGAGAGGAGACACTACTGTCGAGTATTCTCAGCCTCCATGAATCATGATAGGTGTCGAATTAGGAAGATCAAGTAAAGCAAGAAACTATTACCTAAAATAGAACTACATGACGTGCCTTGAAAAACCTCTCCGAGATACAAGTGTCGAAGATGACCCATTAAAATTTGCTCAGGTAATGAAAAGTGAGAATTTTAAATTCTAAATTATGATATAACTTCTAAATTATGATATAACAGTAATGTTCGGAAGCCTATAGAGATGCATAGTGAAGCCAAAGTCATGTGCTTAAAAAGGGTCTTTAAAAGACCCAAAGGAACTCTCTAAGAATTACAAGGCAAGGTTGGTTGCCAAAAGATTCGCTCAAAGAGATCACTTCAGGGAGACATTATGGTATATATCACATCATCCAAAGGTCAAAGGAACCTCCTATAAAACACACTTGTCTGCTCTTGACAATTTTTATAGCCACACTGAATATAAGCACTGCTGTCAACACCTCGGTATCTTGAGCTTTCGAAGCACAACATAAATACCAAGAAATTTGGGATGATCGGGTCTGAAACTACAATTTGCCCCATAAAGGAAGACAATATAATTCTCCTGATATGAATCTAGGCTCCACTGCACTACCAACAAATACGCAGTATAATGAAGAATGAAGAATCTCTATTTCACGTGTCTAAGTCATTCTACAATTCTATGGCAAAAGGAAACAGGTTGCAAGAGTCAGCTAACAGTACAAATAAGAAGTAAAACTCCCCATGTTTATCACTCAACCTCCAATAATATTTGACAAAATCAACTTTCAAAATAATTCCCAAATATACACCAAATATTTATGTTGTAATCATGGCCCTCATTCTCAAAACCTTTGGCATTGTAGAGTCAGCATCAATCTTCAATGGCCATAATTTTCTAAAGCTCATACACAGCATACTATGATGAACGCTACATGCATGATCCCCAAATTCATCCGACACTATTACCAGTCTACCGACCAAAACAAGAACACTGGACATCACAGAAAGATAAATACTTGAGGGTGGAACGGTAAGAGACAGGAAACAAGAACACTGAATGTCACAAAATAAGATTAACACTTTCTTTTGAGAAAAGAGGGGAAGGGGTATAGCTATTAGCCTCTTTACAAGAAACATGACAGAATCACAAAGCTCCATGTGAAACCGACACTTCTCATTGTCTTTAAGATATGTTCTTAAACATTGCTTCTCTCATTTGACCAGGAATGGGCCATGATTAAGTAGTAAGTACTTATAACAACTACCGACGATTTGAGTACCAGTTTTGCAACAACACATTTATCTGAAAAGCCTATTGTGTATTCTATCCTGCATACACCACTCTGAGCAAAGCCTCATTTACTGACAGAGTTGAATAACCATTACCGAAGAAGAATTACACTAATCTCAGAGAAATTTTATATATATATAAACTAGATTCGCTAAAAAACTTTATGAAGCTGCACATGCAACCATCAACTGTTTAAAAAAATGCACAAGATAAAGTAAGATTGAGAATGTGTAAAACAATAAACAGAGTCCCAATAGCAGCTTCTCCTACCCCAAGATTAGAATACAACAATAACTGACTCTTAGAAAATTTAGTGGCGGAAAAACTTATTTTAGTTGTAGTCCATAAAAAATATTGAACAGTAAATTTGACATCTAGTGCTTTCTTCCCTTTCCCTCTAAAAACAGTGGTAGTAAACATGATACAACATTCACATTTCAGTTTACAAAGAAAGATAATAATAACTGAAAGACTAAACTAAGATACACTCTTCCTGTTTCAAAGGTCTTTATGTTTGTAGTTGCATCTACAGAGTAAACAAACAGGGAATAGGAAGATGCCAATATCCCTATAGAAATTCACACCCTTATCCTCTTTTACAATTTCTAACAAAATTGAGAGAAATTAGAAGCCCCTCTCAACCAAAATTTCAATTCAAGATCTTACTGGGATGGCACCATTGTACAGGGATAACATTCTTCTATTGTTTTATATTTCCCCTTATTTAGTTTCGTGGGTGTTATTAAAGTGATCCTTTCCTCCAACAAGCAAAAATTTCAGTTCATTCTGGCTACCTTTCTGCCCTAGTGATGGAAAACACACAAACCAAATCATGGCCATTTACATGTTCAATTTTGGTGGGGCAAATTTAACCAAATCAACTACTTCTCCAAACAAGTGAACAACTTAAAAAATTCTTTCGCAGCAAAATCTACTAAAGAGATCATGCATAAGAAGAAAGGCATCTTATTGTTGGAGATATTGTAGACATCTGGTAAATGACTCAAACATTTAGAAGCATCTAGCAGCCATACTGAAAAAGATGATAAGAAGAATTTCTAGGAAAACCCGTGTATCAATGCAGTTGTAATCATGCAAATGATCCAGAGTGCGGAATTTGTATTTTCAATTGCAAGAAAATGAGTAGCATGCAGATTAAAACACATAACCTACGCCCTTAGAGGGCAGACTGTTAAGTCTTATCTCAGTCCAATCCAACTGACAACACGAAAGCTGGCGACCATAACGGTGTCTATCCTCACGCTCATAAAGGAGAAACCAGTAGAGCAGGAAAGCTAGCGAAAAAGGAACTGAAGTTTGAATTAGAATGAAGTAATCATGTTCTAAGTTTGAACAATTTATCTATGTGCAATGGGACTACCTCGAAGTATAGAAAACAAAAGATTAAACTTTTAGAAACCATCCAATAAAGATTCTTGGGGGATCTAACTTCATCAAGTAAATGGTCCCTGACATTAGCAAGGACAGGAAGCACGACATGGATGTTGTTGTTATTAGGTTTACGTTCTTGGCTATCAAGGTTTTCAAAATATTTCAAAAACCATGCTACTTAAACCTTTACGAGTTTAAAACATCTTTAGCATGCAACCATGTATAAATGTTACAGCACAGCGCAAAGGTACCATCTAAACACTGCAAAATAAAAGTAAAAGCATTGTTACATTAATCGCCGCAATGGGCATATCATAGGACGCATGATACACCCTCCAATAAAACAATTAGAACTCCCTCCGGCTGAAAATTCACAAATCCCCAAACTACAGATACACAACAGAAACCCTAGAAATTCTTATATGGGATTCATTATATTAGCCTACTTATCTTTGGTGGAGACCCCATACTTCTCTTGCATCCTAGCAATCTCTTCCTCCTTCTTCTTCTGATCGAACTTCTTGCCCATCTTCGCCTGCTGGTAATAAAGCACAATCAAGTAACGATTGGCGACGTTGAAGCCGGAGAGGTGATCGACGGCGGTTTTGGCGTCGTATATGTCCTCGTAGACGACGAAGGCGGTGCCACGTGTGTCCTTGTTGGTGCCGATGCGAATCTGCCGAATCGCCCCGTACTTGCCAAAGATATCGTACATCTCCTCGCTGGTGATATTGAACGGTAGGTTTCGAACATAGAGAACGCGGTTCACCTCCGGCGGCAGCCGAGTGTTACCCTTGCGGAGGCTGATCGTCGCCATGCTTGTCGCCGACCGCTGCTGCTGAGAATTGGGGCTCTGCTTTCAGATCGTTCGCGCGGAGCATAAGATAAAAAACACAGAACTCGTATCTAATTCTAACTAATAATTATTATTCATATATCCCTCAATGCTATGTTGGTCGGTAATATTAATAATAAATAGCCAGGAGCAATTCTAAACTGTGTATTTATCATGATATTAATAATAAAATATTATTATCATTATTTATTATTTTAATTTCAATTTGATGCTTCAAATTTTATATTCGACAATAATATATAAAAAATTTATATTGGATATAATGATAAAAAATTAAAATATAACAAGATATTGCTATGTTTCATTAGAAGATTTTTTTAATTAGAGGGATTTTTTTTTCTTGCCAACGTTACTACATTTAAAAAAAGGTTTGAACTATTTTGCTTTTTTTTTTTTTTTGTGGCTTTGTGAATGTCTCGTTCTACTACCCTGATTTATTTTTGAACAGGAGATACTTTTGTTTTTGCTAAGGTATTAGATGGTCGTGAATTGCATGCCTCAAAATTACAATCTTTGGTTGGAATTTACTGAAAATTGCAAGGAATGATTTCGGTGGTCCAACAACATCATAATTCTTTTTAACTCTTTTTTTAATATGAAAATGGTTTAAATTACATGCTCTTATATCTCGCGACCTCTCACTTATAGAGAAGTTCCCATGCTACTAGATTGCAAAGCCATTGGCTACATGCTCTTACATTGGTGGTGTATGTTAGATGGATTCTTTATTGCCCTGTGGAAGCCAAATACCGTTTTGTTTTATTTGCATGTTCAACATTTCCTCGTATGGATTTAAGTTTATGATTTACCATTGGAGTATTACCCTATGCTGACCGGGCGACACTTTGGAGAGAGTATTGCAAAAAATAAATATTTGATATGATGATAAAAGTAATTTAAATTGTTAGGGTTTGCACCTTTCAAGTTCTCATCTTTGGATTTAGTTTATATTCTGTCAATCTTAATGTAGTTGTCAACTACTTGGTGGTAAAATTATGAGGGTGTCACCAGTCTTAGAACAAATAGGAAGAATATGTTCTACTTATATGGGCATTGGATATAATGACATATTGTTAGATAATGCAAAACAACTTCCAAACTTTCTTTAAGTTTTAGTTTCTGTTGTAGGGTCTTGGTTAATTGGTACTGCTTATAAAAGCTCCTCTAGTGGATATGTCTTTTATGTATAAATGATTATCTTAGAGTTGCTACTTGATATTTTGAAGAGGTTTTGTCAGAGAAGGTTGTCATGTATCAAAGTCGATCACAGCACAAGGAGACAGGTGATAGGTCTCATGTGAATTATCCAAGTATCGCCATGTGCAAAAGGAGAGTTGAGTCACTAGATCTAAGCAAGAAGCTAAGTAAAAGAACTAAAATTAGCAATATTGCTCCTAGAAAGTGCAAGCCTTGTGAGCACTTAACCCATATCTCTTGGCAATATAAGAGGGTTAAGTATTCTTCAAGCCATGAACATGTTATTTTTGCTACAAGCCTTGGCAATATAAGAGGGTTAAGTATTCTTCAAGCCATGAACATGTTATTTTTGCTACAAGCCTCTCCATTCAAGGTTCTGACCTCCCATAAGATTTTACTAGGTGTTTGCACCTAAATTATGAATTGGGAGGCTCAGGCTCAATTCAACTTAATCAACCTTAAAATAATTAAAATTGAATATTCATGAAGCTTTAGCCACTAAGTCAAAACTGGGTCTAGGCCATTATCTCCCCACTCCACTTATAATGCTTGAATTATGGAAGTTGGGAAATTGGCCAGAATGGAGGAAATGCTTCCTAAATTCAAGAAAAGTAGCAATCATGGGGCTTGGACACTAAGCCAAAACCATCTATAAATAGAGGAGCCATATCTCATTAAAGAAGATCATCATTATTAACAAACTACCAGTTAAATTCCCAAACTCTACGTCTGCTATTTTATTTTTCATTTTATCATATAGTTTTAATCTTTACTTTTCTATTGTATGGCTGGTATAGGCCACCGCCTCTTTCATTAATTAATGTATCTCAGTTTTTCCATATCTGCATTAATTTTCTTCACTTTACATTCTTGCATCTGGATGAATTGTGGTAAGGGAGCCCGGGTTTCCTGCATTAAAAGTCAGGTTCTTCCATCCTTTTGAGATCGCGCATCTTTGGCATACTTTGTGACACTCCTTTTTCACTGAAACACTAGGTTTAAAGAGAAAATTAACAATAGTCATGTGAATGGTCTCTTAGATAAAAGGTACAAAGGCTTGGTGACAGATGATTCCATCAAGCTGAAAAAGGGATACTATAGTTGGGGTCATATAATAATATTCCCGAAAATTGAAATTTCATGCTCATGGTATTTTTCTATATTCCTTTGTTATTTTTGCAGGTTATGGAGTCTATGGTTCTAGGTCTGTGATGAAACTCTATCAAACTTTTTGTATACAAATGCTTATTAAATGGACATAGTGCCTTCCATCAGAACTATCAACCTTGATGAAGAATGCTTTTAAAAATTCAAAAATAAAAATTTGTTTGATTATTGGAAGAGTCATAAAAATATAATACTCATTTCAAAAGATGATGCTTAAATATCATAAATAAGTTTATTAAACTTTGTCATGTGATAACAATCCCAAGTATTCATAATCAACCGATTCATTAAAAAAACAAACTTGAAAAAAATTCCTATTTTAAGGAGTTTGAATCCGAATATTAACAGAATATCGTTGTATTTATAAATGGCTGAGCATATTTTGTGCCCTAATTTCACTCATGTTCTTCTTGTTCTAACAATAACTAAAACCCTAAAAATAGAATACATCTTCAAGAAGAGAGATAGCATATAATGAGGAAAAAGAACAAGTTGAGAGGTCCCCCACAAAATTAATTAATTAAGTACCCTATAGGGATTAAAGATCATATAACACCATGATAATCAAATTCTCACCCCTTTCAATCTCACATGCTTGCTGAGATAGAAGTTCCAGCTGAACAAAATCTCTTAGTTCGGCTGGCCTCTTCTATCTCTTTTTTGGCATGGAACATATAGAGGTAATAATAAGTAGCCTTGCATCTCTGGGACATAAATTATTAAATAATTGTTTTTGATGTTAGAGTCATAAATTGATCTTTTGTATTTTGATTTGGTTTATACCACATGTCTATCTTTTTTAAATTGTTCATATTTGATTTGAATATAATGGTTCAAATTGTTCACGACGACATTCCTTGTGAAAATTAGTTTATTGAACTTAATCTGATCTTGTTCCATATATTATTTTTTTGTATTAGTTAGAATTAGGTGTAACTATTGATTATGTTCCTTTTAGTTGAATGACGTATGATTGCTTAAGCATGAGATCTTAAAGTTTGATTTGTGTGAATGCAAAAAATACCTTTAAGGGATCTACTCACAATTAGGCATGACAATACTCGAATCTGACTCAATTGGATAGCCATATATCTGGAAAAAAAAAGACAAATAAAATATTGGCAATTGACATGTACTAAAAGATAATTTTCCTACTAATCAATATCTTCCAACTTCAAACTAAAAGTTATGTTGATAAAGCCAAGTATCTATCCACTTTTATGCTGCTACACTATGCCACAATGTGATTGTCATCTTATGGCATAATATTGTGAGCAATTTATAGATTCAATGATCCTATATTGATCATATAGAACATTATGACCCCATTTACATTGGATTTTGGTACACAAAATTGGAGGATTGAGACCGCGATTGAGGTTAAAATTAAATAGTCCCAAATGGGATCTCCAAATTAATTGGATATATGTTCTCAAATTAATGAAATGTATTAGGAATCTTGACTTTGTATTGGTTGGCGAGAGTTGATATAAAGGGGGCATCAACCAATACACAATGTCAAGATGAAAGTATCAAGCTTTTAGTATACAAATACATGCTATTCTTATATAGTTGATAGTTAATATAAGAAATAGGAGTGTGGACCTTGTCTTTTAGACAGGGTAGATCCCATCATATATGTGTCACCTTTCTTTTATATAGAGAAGCAAGTATTTACAACCTAAAGTTATAAGCAAAATCAAACCAAGCAACTTTTGGCTTGTGTGTTAGCTTATTTTTGTTTATTTAGTGTGAGAGGCACTAAAGCCTTGATGTTATAAATAAGAATGAACCTAAAATTTCCTACTTATATGAAAGTTTTCATGTAACTAAACCACAACTCGATTGACATATGTATTAGTCTACATATTGTGAAACACAAACTATACACATATGTGAAGAATAAAAATGGATATGGAAAGGTTTTTCTTCTTCTTGTTTTCTTCTATTCCTCTTTTCTATTTTTTATCCTCAAAATATACATGCATCTTCCATATACACAATGACGCATGGTAAATAACAAACATATGATATTAATTTTTGGGGATGTATGCAGCAGAAAGGGCCTCGAATGTCAGTGCCACAATTTGGGGGGTGGGATCAGAATGGTGGGGCCGAAGTGAGTTCAGGGTACACAGTGGTGTTCACAAAGGCTCGTGCTGATCGACAACATCATAAGACTGACTTGTCTGATATCAAACGTCAAAGCCAACTTCAAGATCATCATCATCATCATGACGACATTCCCAAAAATCATCATCATCATCATCATCATCATAACAAGCATGATCGTCATCATCATGGTACACCAGAAGAACGGCCCTCTGCTTCTGCTACTCCCAATCCCATGGTGAGACTCCATTATTTCTCTTTATCTTCTATTTTATTCATTGGTTTTTCTTAATTGTTGTTGTTTTCATTGATTGCATCACTATTATCATCTTGATGTGCATGTTCAGAGAATGTGTATCAAGTGTGCACATAATTAATATCTAGATGTCGTTATACTTAAACTTGATCCTTCTTCATTCCTGAAGTAGATACCAAATAATTTGGATCTTCATAAGTTAGTTATTGCTCACCATTGCTTTGATGATCCATGCCCCCTTTGTCAACTCATGGACCATTTGTAGGTGAATATTGTAATTCGAATGAAATAGTATGACATCATCATTAAAATTAGAGATTTGTGTGGGTGAAATATTGTGTGTCTAACAGATTTTAGATTGGTGGGTATTAGTGACATCAAAGACATCAAATGGTGATTTATTCATCAACAACATTTTGAATGCTATATAGTAATAGGGACTAGATGGAGAGTAAGTTTGACAAATCTGAATCAATTACATCTTCCCATATCAGATTGGATTCATGCATTTGTAAAGAGTGAAGTTTCTGAGGGCTTGGGGCTGTTTTGCAATATCCTGCCCTTCCAATTTTTTTTTTAAATCATTAGCTTCTAAGATAAGAGAGACAAACTGCTATCTTGCAGCTCGAACACGGTCACATTAGAAGCTCCAACCCATTTCTAGGGATATTTCTTAGGCCATGAAAGCTAATGAATGATCAAAATCCTGAGCTTAGCCCTCAATCAACAACATCACAAATTCACTTTACCATCGATTGTCTAATTCTGTAAGTGTAGAGGCATTAATTAATCATTATTAGTGTTCAAGAAAATCATCAAAACAGGTCAAGTGAACCTATCAAGGTTATATAGCCTATTTTGTTTTATGTTTGTTTGGGCTGACTTATTTAAGAAATAGGATAGATTCAAGCCTGTGATTAGGCTGTTTATAAATATATATACGTTTTACATACAGATATTATTGGGATTGCAGTTGACTTAGGCCTTAGTCTTGGGGGGGCTTCGTATAGATTTTTGGTTAAACTTAGCCCTGTTGCTAACCCTAATTGTGTAACCAATATAATACACATTGTTTAGCATAGTATAATATTGATATAATTTTTTATGATTATGCAGGGGAAAAAGAGAAACAAGAAATCATGGTTCTTCTGCTGTATTAGGCTCCGATAATACGCTAAGAACCAATCCCAATAATTCAGAGTTAAAAAATAATGATGGTGTCATGATTCTGAGCTCATTTGGGACCCATGTGTACATGCCATGTAAAGTTTTAGCTTCATTCAGAGGTGAATCTTTCCATGATTTGTATAAGAGGATGCTATACAATGGAATTGTTTTGGTGATGAAATTGTCTTTCTTAGTTTCATTAAAGTTACAAAACCACATATAATCCAAACAAATCAAATTGACTTTTTGAAAAAATGAATTTAAATATAAATTTTATTATAATAATTAACTTACACTAAACTAGTTTTTGTGTCAAAAGAATTTTTGACAAATGAAAAACCAAATGCGTACTAACAAAATTTAGCATAGTTAGAAGTAGCTGGATCTTTTAAAGCATATTGTTAGAGGGTTTGATTGTCGCCTATATGTATTAAAAAAAATCTTATCAAAGAGGCAAGTCCTACTTTTTTAATCTTTACATCTCAAAGGAATTAATACACAAAACTAGTAAATCAACTAAATTATTTGTGTGTATCTCAAGTGGCAAGGGTAGGGGAAGATGTGATGTAGAGAAAGATCAAGGGTTCAAACTCTTTCCATGTATAAAAAAATAATAATACATACATATATTATATATAGTACATATTTTGAAATTATACAGAGTACATATTTCGAAATTGGACAAAGTAAATGGACTGAGAAAAGGAGCGGTCTTGCGCACATAATAGTAGTTTAAAATTGGCCAACTCAGTTGAAATTCAATGATTTGTCCCTTGGGTAGTTTTCGCTCAAAATATTTATTTAAAATAGCTTACCAAAGGGGTTTTGAAATGTTGGAGGTTTAAATGCCTCAAAAGAATTTTTTTAATACAAATTAATGCTCCAACGTTCAGAAATTGTTCTGCTTAATGGTGATTAATTGGCTAAATAGATTTTAAATGGTGTTTAAATGATGACTAGCATTCTTCTGCGTAGATAGCCCACATAAGACGTGCTTGCAAAAAGTCCAAACTCACACTGCTCTTGAGCTTTTAGGTTCTCTCTCTCTCCCGTCCTAAGTTCTGTTTTTTCCTCCTAAATTTTATACTGTTATGTCATCATTTGTTTTTTTTTTAATGAATGATTCACTTAATCCTCAAAGTTGTCCCAAAAACTTATGTGATGTAATAACTTCTAAAAACAATATCCTCGAATGAAGAGGATGACCATTGTTGGTCAAAAAAGACGATGACCATTGCTACCAGACAACTTTATTGATAATTAAGTTATAACATTTTTTGGAATGAATTTGAGAATTTTTTTTTTAATTAGAAAGAATTACAACCAGCCCCCTCCTAAGAGAATTAATCATGAACAAAGACCAATGTAAAATGAATTATTGTTAAAATGTGAAACATGATTTATTTTTTTTCAAATGGAACATGTTACTGATTTTTGTACGTAATTAATTTTTTGAGAGAGCGTTGGTTGTAATTCTCCCTTTTAATTAAAAACAAATTTACATTATAAAAAACATAACAAAAAGAAAACGGTCAATAACCGCTTTCCCCGGAACCACATGGAAAAGTACCCAGAAAAAAAAAGTCATCAATGCAATCCCCAACAATGAATGAAATGGGACAAAAGAAAAGGAGAAGCTTGTGGAAGTCTCCTACAAAATGTCCATTCATCAGAGCATCCTTCAGCAAGGACGGAAGAGGAAGCTTGTGATAGAAAACTACAGAGACTCGCGTGTTGTTGCAAGGAAGGCACCAAACATCGATAAATCCAATGCAAGGCAGTTCGAAGACAAGCATGCCAAAAGAGATTCGGATTTGAAAGTGCATTCTTTATCCCATTTCATTTTTGTGAAAGATTTGAAATTCTTCGCGCATTATAACAGAAACAGATGCTTGTCCTCAATTTCTAAGTTTGCAAATCCAGATAAACCATTTAGGTGGAGAACTAATTGGGAATTTCTTGAATGAACATAGCAAATAGCCTTGATCCAAACGATTCATTGCAAGCATGTAAAACTGAAAAGGCCGGCTTAGATGGGCTAGACCTATTTTTGTAAGGCTGGTCTACCAGCGTGCATGCATATATTATATTCTATTAAACAAATAATAAAATATTAAATTTATTTTAATAAATTATTCACAACAAATTTATATAAATAAAGAAAAAATAGTTACGTTATTAAAATTTTTACCATAATTTTTTTAAAATTATTTATTTTCTCATTGAAAATTAAAATAAAAGGCATATTTAAAATAAAATAATTAATGGCATATAAACTCATGCAAAGTAGCTTAATTATATTTAGGACCGCAAAAATTTTTAAAAGACAACTTACACATAAGACTAGGAAGTACTCTTCAATTAAAAAATATAAAGTATTTTTTAAGGAGTTGAATGTTAAAAAATATAAGTTATTTTTAATCTTTAGAGATGTAATCATTATTTCTTTTCAAAAATGTCCCTATTAATTAATGATTTTATATTTATTGTAGGGTGTTTCATATGGGTAAATATAAAAAAATAGGGTTAGTTAGAAAGTAGATAATTACTTTATTAAGGGATGAAATTCGATTAAAAATACTTTATATTATTAAACGGAGGGAATATCACTTAACTGATCAACATTATTTGCTCTAGAAAAACTACATTTAGACATTTATTTATATGTTTAAAATAACAAAATAATTATATATTGATTATTTAATTTATTATACATATGTATCATATATCGATAATGTGATCATATTTTTAATATAATTTATTAATTTATTAATATAAAATAGAAGATAAACTCTTATGATAGATCAAGTTTCGGTTATAAGTTTATCATATACTTTTTCCGTTTATAAATATAAGATATTTTTAATCTTTCAAGGTGTAATCATTATTTTTTTTAAATGCCTTATATTTATTATATGATATTTAATAGAGATAAATATAAAAAATAAAATTAATTTAAAAATAAATAATTATTTTATTGTGAGATGAGATTTTATTAAAAATGTTTTATATTTTTAAATAGAGGAAATAATTTTTATTTTGTACTCATGTTTAATTTATTATAATAATATTATATGATTTAATTTGGGTTTTTATTATAAAGCTCACCCACAATCTTACTAGTTACGACTTACGACGCTCTGCCGCCGCGCCGCCGCCGCCCCGCCCCACTGTCGACAACCTCACACTCAACGCTCAACCTCACGCCGCTGCTCCCACCTCCTCTCAATCTCGTCGCTCAGTGACGGTGGTCATTTGCACCGGCGCTCGCGTTATACATTTACCTCACTCCCTCCCTCCGCGGTACCTGATATTCAAGTTTTCTGCTTCAATTTTGTATTTTAAATTCATACTCTCCTCCCGGTGGTTTGAAGCTTGCTCCTTGAGGATTGTTGATCAAGCCTTTGATGGAGTCATTTTTAGACTTGAACGAAATATGCGAGCAACAAAGTTCGTCATATGCACTCAAATTGGTGCCTTGGTTGAACTGGGATGAATGGGTTTTGGTTAAAGATTCTCTTTTCTCAGACTCCCCAGATTCCATTGCTTTTGCTCTAAAAAGAGTAAGATTTGATGCTGATTATTTGCAAGCCTTTTCAATATGATACAGAAGGATATATGCTGATGAAAGACTTATTTGCTTTCAGATATCGGCATGGGAGAGTCGAGGATGTTTGCCAGCTGCTATTGAGGCCACTGCTTCCATCATTGAAATTCGACAAATTGATCCCTATTGTAGGTAGATTTTCTATTCTGATTTTCATAACTTTATGATCTTTTATAGTTTTTTACTCCCTGCACCAAAAAAAAAAAAATTGAGAGAATCTTTTTAGGCTAAATATAAGAAACAACTACCATAGGCTTGAACAAGGAACATCCCCTTAATGTCGTTGATGCAAAGTTTTCTTTTATACAGGAACGTCAAAAATGATACATCTTTGATGAACCTTGGTTTTTGTAGAGTGGAAGAGGATCGGTGTAGAGATACTTCTCTTTCAGAGAAAATGCTTGCTCATTTGTATTGCATGGCAATCATTAGGTAAGGTTTTCTTTCAATTTTTTCAAATATGAAGTTTTTCTTATAACCCTTCGAAATACATCCATAGCACCAGTACAATGTACAAGATCAAGTGATTTACAAGATTTTTAGTATCTGGCAAAAAAAAAGAAAAAAAAGGTTTTTTAGTAATCTATTTGTACTTGCACTGTTTTGAAAAATTAATTAATGAGTTAATGTCGCTCAAGATCATGGGACATGATTGTGTGGTCACTGGAGACTATTAGAAGATATTTTGAGGGCCTTTCAAGAAACTTTGCCATGTCATGAGATTTAGAATCTCAGATCTGGGCCTTTTTGCTATCTTTTCATCTTTAGTATGAGCAGCTGTTTACTTTCAGGAAAAGTATCAGCAAGCACTTGTGTTATATGTGACCCTTTAATGCACAACCTTGTTTGTTGAAGGCTTGTCAATGGTGTTATTGAAAAGACACGTAAGAAAGAAGAGAAGTCAATAGCTGTTGCTGCTGAGGCAATTGGTATTCCACGGTTGCTGATTGATATTCGTCATGGTAAACAAAGTTGTCTCCCACTATTATTTGTTTACATATATATTGAAAAATGCCTTTCCCCTTACGTATTCCTTCAACTTTAGAGGGATCACATCGTGGACTTCCAGCACTTCAACTTCTTCGCAGTGCCTCAGTTAAGGTATAGCTTATTTCAGTGTGTCTTATTATCATATCAGTGTCAAGTATGTGTGGTCCATGGGGTGGTGTAATTGATAATGTTTGAAGATTTGATGTACTCATTTGATATGAAGCAATTGGAGTGGGTTTTCCTTTTCAAGGCCGATAGTTGATGTCAGAATAAGGAGGACTTGTTAATGTAATATAAGATTCTAAAGCTTTTAGATATTTACCAGATTGCCAGCAACATGTTCTATGCAATTGCTTGTTTTTTGAAAATTAAAGGGAAAATAGTGACCTTGCGCCTATAACTGATGGTGAGTTGTTTTGTTGTTGTCAATTTCAGGCACTTGATTGGTTGAAGTCTTATTATTGGGAATCTCAGAGCAAGGCAATTCCTTTTGAACGTGATGGAAATGCAAAGGTTAGAAAGAAAATCAAATCCAAGCTTCGAGAACTGTCTTTCTGCTTGAAAAGCAACCAGAGTTCCCAGTCTAATAGTCCAATACTCGAGGGAAAACGTGCGTGAGCTTTATTTATTTATCTATTTATTTATTTTCATCTCTTATAAGTTATAACATTAGTGTTTAAATCATATCTTTTTAAATATTGACTTTAGTATGGTGTTTAATGATGTGATATGCAATTTATATATGTCAAGCTTATGTAACGGGAATGTATGCATTTTATTTATCTACTATTATATTTCAATACGAAAATTAGGATGGCTGAAAATTCTTTCCCTGTGTCATCCAGGCATACATCTATATGCAGCATTTGCTTCTGCCAGCTCCCATCCATTGCCCTAAAATCATGACCCCACTTCTTTCTTTTGTTGCAAATCAAGGAGGATGGAAGTTATTTGAATGAAATATTGAAAAATAGAAACAAGCAACAATTATGATCTACTTCCTTCTTATTTTTCCAAATTTATTCCATTCTTTTAATATTGGATTCATGTATTTTTCCCCCCTGTCAGCAACCTCTTCTTTAAGCACTTGTTAAATATCATTGTCTTCTTTTCTCCTTATTTGGTCTCCTTTAGATTAAGAAGAAAACCATGTATAACTGAACAACAACACAATAACAAGCCTTATCCCACTAAGTGGGGTCAGCTACATGGATTGAACAAATCCATGTATCATTGTGAATGCATGGATGAATTCCATTCGGCATGCAATAATGTACAAGTGGATGTACTATATCCTTATGATACTTTGCATCATACTGCATTTGTCTTTAAAATGATGTTTTTCAGTCAAATAGAAAGTATGGATTGTTTATTTGTTCAATCAAGATCATAATGCTGGTCAGCTTATTGCTCTCTTGATTCAAAGGCTTGCAGGAATTCTTCCACCTTACATCATCTATACATTAGAGACATGCAGACTGTAAATGCATAATCCAAAATTTAATGCTTGTTTTATGGGGCACAGTTAGGGATGATATATGTGGCACTAATTGGAACAATTAGAGATAAGTATGGCCCATTTAATGCACGTGCTTCTGTTTCTCTGTTAAATTGAACTTAAAATTGTTCAAGATCTTTTTGACATTTGTAACATGCATTAGAAATATGCCGGAAGTGTCTGCATTTAAATGAGATTTTAATTCTAACAACATTCAGATTCTTGTCCAACATTCAAAGTCTCGTAAAACTGTTGGTCTGGTCCCCCGGGTTCATCCACTATTCTGACCTGGATCTTCGCTGTAACAGCTTCAAACATGATGAATTATGTTGTGACTGTAATAATCTTTTGACTCTTATCACTGGCAAGTGTCAAATATCAAAATCTGGAAGTGGCATTTTATTATCAATAAGATAAATGCATTTACTTTCTTTGATAACTTTTAGTTGTCATCCAAAATATTGGAATCACAAGTACAAGGTGAAGCTACTTGGTAATTTCAGATAATGGCCATCCTCACTACTTTAATTCTTTATCTAAATATCTCATACATTGATTCTTGTTTAATTCAGAATCCAAATAAGAAAGTAGTTAACTTGTTATCATAACTAACTAGGCATGTTGTATTGTGCAATGCCAGGAGTTTGAGGATGTGTATCACTGTTCAGGGCTTTTGAAAAATGTGACTTGATAAAGATTTTATTACACGTGTTGATATTGATATATTGATATTCCTATTTTATTCTTCAAAATAAATGATTGTGGCTGGAATTTGTTATGGTACTTCATCTCAGTTCTGCTGAACCTGAAGTGAATTAAGCAGTGGTATCCTTTTATTTTCAGGTTCTAAGAAACAAGTTTCTAAGATATCGAAATCTCTTGTTCAGTTATATTCTTCCTACTCCTCAGAGATTGTAGGTGTGTTGTTGGAGTATTTGTTGGAAGCCTTGAGTTCTTCAGAATTAGTAGAGCATACGGAGCAAGTTTCATGTCCAACCATAAATATTATTTTGCCTGATTGGAAGGTTGTCATACTCAGATTTTGTGATAAGGAGCCAGAGTTACTACTGAACCTTTTTAAGGAAGTACTCATTATGATTGAGACCCAGGAAGCAGAAATGAAATATGAAGAAGGTAGATGCTTCTTGCTTTGCATGTCAGCATTTTCAATTTGTTTTTTGGTGGCATCCAGTATCTATTGATTAATTATTGTGTGGTACTTGGATTTGCTTTCATTCTCAGTCTATAGGGTGCACCTAAATTTTGACATCTGATACATTTTTTATTAGAAACAATTTTTGAAATTCTTAAATTGTTTCAATATTGGATTATGAATTTGTTTACGAAGATGATGATAGCCTTCGTCTTCTATCTACTTGCAATTACTCTGATCCACAGTTTTGCATGTCAATGTCAAGGCGAGTTATATCATTATAGTGTCAAATTTATAATGTTCTTTTATCACAATTTATTATAAGCTTCAAGCTGTGGATCCCTTTGCTTGTTCATCAGAGTTGATTTGAGATACAAGTTGTGGTTATGCTCAGTATGGGCGTAGCGTAATTTTCACTTTCAGCCACTTTTACGGGACAGATTTTTTCACTTCTGAACTGTTATTATATGTTTAGGCATCTTCTTGTGTGAGATTGTACGGTCAATTATAGTAGAGCTCCTAATGATTGTAAAGTTGCATGCACAGTCATATGGTTTATCTTCTGCATTAATATAGAACTGTTCCTAATATTAATTATGATAAGGTTGAGGTAGTTTTATCTTCATGATTTGTTTCTCTCGTCTGTGCAGAAATGAAATGTCTAGGGACTTCACGTAGGAAAGATTTTGCCAGATTGATCGTCTTGCATCTTTGTTTGCATGGCTTGCTGGGATTCTATATGAGTACTATCTGCTAAAGCAAATGTACCAAAAAATGTTTTGCTTGAACTTGTACGAAAATGTCTTCGAATATCAGCTCCAAGCAATAAAGCAGCTAGTGGATTCAGCCCTTCTCTTGCAAAATTGATGATGATGATAGCTCTTAATGGAGAAAGTTAAAAGGCTCTCTCATGTCATTCTGTCCAATTCAGTCAAAAGCAGTGATGAAAGCTCTTTGCCCATTTCTTCAGTGAATTTCCTTCAGATGGAGGAATACATAAGCCGAGCTGCTAGAAAGCTTGAGTTGTTCAAACACGAGTGACAAAGAGTAAACACAACATCATGACGGATTGCGACACCAACGGGCCTCGGACATGGACTTTGG